AAATTGAGTAGCAAATGGAAGGAAGTTGACCTCCCTCCCCAGTGTTGCCTTTGACGTTCTGTGTCTGAGAGACCTGGCCATTAGAACATAAATTCCCCAGTGTCTAACATTTTCTAGCCCTTCAGGAAAGTAGTTTGGTAGAGGAAAGAGTGAGCCCATACCATTGATTTAGTTGACTTCAGGCAGCCAGGTTCTCAGCTCCCTGGCACATGTAAGATATTATTTCTCCCCTTCTCTGTCCAGTTCCCTAAGCAGATCAGTCAGATATGTCTTACTGCACTACTGGAGCTACAGACTGCTAAAATGTGCAATAAGGCACCAGCCTTGTATAAGTCACCTTACTGTGAGAAGTGTGTGAGGGGAGTCAGTGCCAGGATGGCATCGTGCTCTCAGATCTTCATGCACAGGAAGTCTGGAGTGGAAAGATTACTTCTCCATGCGATAGTGTTCCTAGAAATAAAAATACAGAGTTTTGATTAATCAAATCAAAAATTAAATTAAAAATTTCTGTATAAATTCATTGAACATTATACTTTAATATCATTTGTATGCCAATGGAGTAAGTCTAAGAAAAATGATATTTGTTGATTAATTTAAAAATCAATATTTTTTTGTTAATTCCAATTCGTGAAAAGTAGATGGGGCTTGTCTATTTTGGTGTGCATGTTTTAAAATATTATAAAATAATATTATACATGTATTATTTTGTAATTTGCTTATTTTACATATTATAAACACAATCCCTTGTCAGATATTTGATTTACAGGTTTTTCCCCCAGTCTTTGGGTTATCTTTTCACTTTCTTGATGGTGTCCTTTGAAGGACTAAAGTTTTTAATTTTGATGAAGTCCAATTATCTATTTTTTTCTTCTGTTGCTTATGATTTTTGTGTCATATCTAAGAATCTTTTGCCAAATTAAAAGCTATGAGGATTTATCCCTGTGTTTTCTTCTAAGAGTTTCGTAGTTTTTGCTCTTACATTTGGGTCTTTTACCCATTTTGAGTTAATTTTTATATATGATTAAGGGTCCAACTCCATTCTTTTGTATGTGGCTATCCACTTGTCCCCACACCATTTCTTCTAAAGATTAGTTTTTTCCTATTGAATGGTCTTGCATCCTTATCAAAATTCATAGTTGATCATAGGGGCCAGCCCAGCGGCACAGCAGTTAAGTTTGCACATTCTGCTTCGGCGGCCCGGGATCCACTGATTTCGGTTCCCTGGTGCAGACCTACGCATCTCTTGTCAGGCCATGCTGTGGCAGGTGTCCCACATATAAAGTAGAGGAAGATGGGCATGGATGTTAGCTCAGGGCTACTCTTCCTCAGTAAAAAAGAGGAGGGTTGGCAGTAGATGTTAGCTCAGGGCTAATCTTCCTCAAAAAAAAAAAAAAAAAATCAGTTGATCGTAGATATATGGGTTTATTTCTGGGCTTTCAATTATATTCCATTGATCTCTATGTCTATGGTTGAACCAGCACTGTCTCAGTTACCATTACTTCATAGTATGTTTTGAAATCCATAAGTTTGAGTCCTCATATCTTATTCTTTAATTTTTTTTTTCAGGGTCATGTTGGCTGTTCTGGGTCTCTCACAATTCTGTATGAATTTTAGAATCAGCTTGTCAATTTGTACCAAAAAGTCAGCTGGGCTCTGATAGAGACTGCATTGAATCTTAGATCAGTTTGGGGAGTATTGCCATCTTAAACAATTTTTTCCAAAAAGTTTTGTACCTTTCTTAGCATAAATTTTGCACTTCTTTTCTTAACTTTATTCCTAAGTATTTAGTTCTTTTTGATGCTTTATGAATAGAATTGTTTTCTTAATTTCACTTTGGATTGTTCATTGTAGGTGTTTAGAAACACAGCTAATTTTTGCATGTTAATTTTGTATCCTGCTGCTTTGCTGAATTTGTTAGAATTGTTAGTTCTAACAGGGTTTTGTGTGTGTGTAAACTTTAGTGTTTTCTGCATATAAGATTATTTGCTCTGAAAACAGAGAGAGTTTTACTTCTTCCTTTCTGATCTGAATGCCTTTTATTTCTCTTTCTTATCTAATTACTCCAACTAATACTTACAATACTATGCTGAAGGGAAGTGGTGAAAGTGGACATCCTTGTCTTGTTCATGATCTTTGAGGAAAAGCTTTCTGTCTTTCATCATTGAGTATGATGTTAGCTGTGGGTACTCATATATGGCCTTTATTATGTTGACGTACTTTCCTTATATTCCTAGTTTCTTGAGTGTTTTTATCATGAAAGAATATTTCATTTGTTTTTTCTCCATCAGTTGAGATGATCATTTTTTTTTTCCTTCATTTTGTTAATGTGATGTATTACATCAGTCAGTTTTCATGTGTTGAACTATCTTTGCATTCCAGGAATAAATTCCACTTGGTCATGGTGTATAATCCTTTTAAGATTGCTACTGAATTTGGTTTGCTAACATTTTGTTGAGGATTTTTATGTCTATATTTATAAGAGATATTGATCTGTAACTTTCTTGTGATGTCTTTGGTTTTAGTTTCAAGCTAATAGTGGTCTCATAGAATAATTTGAGAAGTGTTCCCTCTTCTTCAGTTTTTTGGAAGAGTGTGAGGTACTGTTATTAATTCTCTGACTGGTTGGCAGAATTTAACAGTGAAGACATGTGGACCTGGGCTTTTGTTTGTGGGTTGATTTTGATTACTGATTCAATCCTTTCCGTTGTAACAGATCTATTCAGATTATCTATTTCTTCTTGAGTCAGTTTCAGTAGTTTGTATTTTTCTAGGCTTTAGCAGTTCTAGTGAGTGTGTATTGGTATTTTATTGTGGTTTTAATTTGCATTTCTATAACTAATAATGGTGTTGAACATTTTTACAAATGTTTCTTGGCTATTTGTCTATCTTTTGTGAAATGTCTGTTCAAGTTTTTTGCCCCTTTTTTAAATAAGTTGTTTGACTTATTAATAAGTTGTGAGATTTCCTTATATATTCTGGATAAGAGAGTTTGTCAGATATGTATATTATGATTTTAGTGTTTACTCTTAAGTCCGTGATCCATTTTGAATTAATTTTTGCGTATAGTGTGCAGTAAGGGTTGAAGTTCTTCTTCTTTTGTACAGATCTTCACTTTCACTGAAAGTCAGTTCTTTCTCCATTGAATTCACTTGACAACTTGGTCAAAAAACAGTTGCCAATATAAATGTGGGTCTTTTTCTGAGATGTCTAAATCTTGAGAACTATGTTATTTGGTGCATATACATTTATAGTTCTAGCTTACTGCTGTACTGTCTTTTTCTCAATAGGAAATGTTTCTCTCTGGGTCTAATTCTTCTTTTAAAAAGTTTATTTCGGGGGCTGGCCCCCCAGTGTAGTGGTTATAAGTTAAGTGTGCTCCTCTTCAGTGGCCTGGGTTCACAGGTTCAAATCTCAGGCACGGACCTACACCCTTCATCAGCCATACTGTGGTGGCAACCCATATACAAAATAGAGGAAGATTGGTGCAGATATTAGCTCAGGACTAATCTTCCTCAAGCAAAAGAAAAAAAGAGGAAGATTGGCAACAGATGTTAGCTCAGGACCAGTCTTACTAAGCAAAAAGAAAAAAAAAATGTTTATTTTGTCTAACATAGTCTCTCTAGGTTTTTTACACTTATTGTCTACATGTTATATCTTTTGACAACCTTTTTCTTGCTTTTACTTTTATGTGTGTTTTCATAGTTAAAGTGCATTTCTCCAAACAATGTGTAGTTAGGTCTCACTGTTTCTCAGTCAGATAATCTCTGCATTTTTATTGGAGTGTTTAATATGTTTATATTTAATGTTGTTATTGATTTATTTGGATTTATTGTCTGCCATTTTGCTATTTGTCTTGTCTTAGTCTCGTTTTTGTTTTCCTGTTCTTCTCTTCTGCCTTCTTTTGTGTTAAACACTATTTTTTGTGGACAATTTTTATTCTCTATTAGCTTTATTTCTTTGCATTATTTTTATTTATTTCTCTAGGGACCACAATATCAACTTTAACTTCCAGGAAAATGTAGGAACCTTGCAATAGTGTAGTTTCATTTACCCACTCTCATCCTTTTTGCTTTTGCTGTCAAATAAGTACATATGCATACCTGTATTATAAACCTAAGAATATTGTGTTATAATTTTACTTAAAAAATCCTGTCTTTTAAAGAAATTAAGAGGAGAATGAATATATATAAAATAACATAATTAATATTATATAATATATACAATATAGAGTAATATAATTATATAATACATTAATCATGTATATTTTCTTCCTTCATTCCTTTCTGAATATCCAAGTTATCACCTGTTATCATTTTATTTCAGCTTGAAGTATTTTCTTTAGCATTTCTTGAATGTAGACTTGTTAGCAATGAATTCTCTTGGCTTTTATTTATTTCAAAATGTCTTTGAATCTTTAATTTTGAATAGTAGTTTTAGAATAGCCTTCTTGGAAGACAGATTTTTTTCCTCAACAATTTGAATGTTATTCCAGTGTCTTATAGCCTCCCTTGTCCTAATGAGAAATGAGTTGTTAGTCATACTTTTTGTTCTCCTTTGTGTAATGTATTATTTTTCTGTTTTATTCAAGATTTTTCTCATTATCTTTGGCCTGTAGTTTGATTATGATGTGGTGAGGTGCAGTTTTCTTTGTTTATTCTATTTGGGGTTAATTGAACTTCTTACAGCTGTGAGTTAATGTTTCTCAGGGAGGTTTTTCACTACTATTTCTTCAAATATATGCTGCCTCTTTCTCCTTCTCTACTCTGTGTTTGACTCCAGTTAGCCCTGTGAGTCATGAAGGATGTTTCTGACATAACAGTTTTAAACCTTGGTAGAATGCTTGGAAATAAAAGGGGGAAGTATGGATGAAATGCCACAATTTTCTAAGGAAATTTAGTTCCTGAAATATGCATACACACAACACAACTCAGTAGATTTACAGTGGAAAATATTAACGTTACCTGTCCTCTTTTCCTGTTTTTTACAAAATCTGTTTGTAGGTGCATTTCCTCCCTCTGCTATTTATGCACGAAAAGACTTGCTACAACGATCCACCCATATTGCTACCAAGACTTTCCAAGCTTTTCGAATATTTGTGAATGATGAGCTCAATGAACTTTACACAGGATTGAAGACAGCTCAGAAGTTTCTGAGACCTGGTGGTCGTCTTGTTGCCCTCTCATTCCATTCACTAGAGGATCGCATTGTCAAACGATTCTTGCTTGGGATAAGCATGGCAGAAAGGTTTAACCTAAGTGCTAGACAGAAGGTGATACAATCTTCACAATTGGGTTCAGGTCATAAAAACAAGGAGGGAGGCTCTATGGGAAGGGCCCCTTTAATGTGGGAACTGATTCACAAGAAGGTGCTTACTCCAGAAGATCAGGATGTAGAGGATAACCCCAGAGGGCGCTCGGCCAAGCTTAGAGCGGCTGTCAAATTATGAGAAAGAAAGTTATCATCATCTGATCCTTCAAGTTTTCCCTCACAGTTTCTCTTAATATTTTTCATGTGATATTCCTGCACAGCTTAATATAAGAAAGTACGTGATATAGAGATCTGTACTATATATGTGTGGAAATTGAGAGTATTTAGCCTTTTTCTTTTGTCAAAAAGAAAATGTTGGAAATATTAGCATGACACAGAAAGTTCAACTCAAGGAGCAGCAGCATCTTAAAACTGGAAAAATGTGTTTGCTTTAGCATTCTATTTGACTTTTGAAATGCAGTCCTTTCTCTAACAAGAAATTTTTTTTTAAAAAAAAAAGAATACTATGTGTATTTATCTAAATGTTAACTCAAGTTGTCAAAAGAGAGAGATTATAATTATAGCTGCATGCCCTAAATTCTGAATTTAGATATTCAGATTTGCAACAGACTTTCTATGGGTCAAATAATTAATAATGATCGTGGAATGAATTTTAATTTCCCTACTTAGGAATAATTAATCACTATAGCTTTCTCAAATATACATATTATGCAAATTTTAAATTTTCAAGTATTATTTTTTAAATGTATCATACCGATAAATTTCATCGTTGAAATTATAGTGTTCATTGTCTTAAAGGGATTTTTCATTGTGATATATACCGTGTTTTCATAGATTGCAAAGTAAATGTAGACTTGGTCTAAGAGCCCTCACAGAGAATGTTTCACAAAACTTATATTTAAAGTCAATTGTGTTTATTTTAATAATAGCCCAGAATGCCTTTGATAAATAATAAAATCTCTCATCATTTGACTCCTTCATTTTTCACTTGAGCTATTCAAAGTAATTCAACCAAGTCTATTTGAAATAGAAAAGTCTGTGATGTATTCAAGTTATTAAAATCAATGCACCCTTAATGTTTTTACTTACAGATAGTAGCTGTAATTGTCAAATGTTTATTCAGGAAAGGTTCACTTATTAGAGGATTCTTTAACAAATTGATGAGATTGAGTCATAATTCACATATCAACTTTTTATACATAAATATGCACTTTTAATTTTTTCAGTTATTCAGCAAGTACAGAACTAGGCAGAGAAACAGTGGTGAGTAGAATACACATAGCCCACAGTACCTGTCCTGTGGAGTTTATAGTCTAGGGGAAGAGAGCTAGATTAAATAATCACAAAAATCGATATAAAATTGACACGTTGCAGTAGTAAATACTACAAAGAGGCGATGCAGGGTACGGCAAGAACACCTGGTAGGGAGTTCATCTACTGAAGGAAACCAGGTCTGACAAAGTGGTGCTCGTGTCATGACCTGAAGGATAAGTAAGATAACTAGTCAAAGGGTGCATGGGCATGTCAATTAAAGGTGCATGTAAATGATTGTTTTCTTAAGTAGTTATCTTTGAAATCATATTTATACTATTAATTTTCTTAGTAAACTATTTATTCAAATACAGGAAAAATTCATCTTCTCAATTGTGATTGCAAATTCTAAATTGAATACAAGTGAATAAAATATCAACAGAACTATATGGGCATATGATAAGAATTAAATACTTGAATTTACCTCAGACTTACTTTATCTACCTCTGTAAAATTTAACTTTATTTCCCAAACTTGTTTATTGCTTTTACTTTAGAGGCTTTATTCAAATCTGAACAATTCTGCAGTGAAATAAGAAATAGAAAATATTCTAGGGAACTGTGTGCTCAAATTAGAAACAAATGAATGCACCTAGCTTAATCCCCTGAATCCTTCCTGCAAATGTTATGTTTCTGTTTGTATGTAAGTCATAGTTATAAATGAGAAAGATTCCCAAAAGAAAGTTCCCAACCAGGTATCTGATTAGAAATTAAAAGATCACACTCTTGCATTCAACAATAGTTCACCTTTTTCATCAATCATTTTTGGATCCTCTATGTTACGGGAATTTTTTCTTCAATGTTAAATGGAAACTGAACGGCATTGTCTTGGATAGTGTGCCCCCAAAATTCATGTCCTTCTCAGAACCTCAGAATGTGATGTTATTTGGAAATATGGTCATTGCAGGTCTAAGTAGTTAAGATGAGGTCATACTGGAGCAGGGCAGGCCCTTAATCCTATATGTCTGGTCTCCTTATAAGAAGAGGAGAAGAGAGACAGAGACACAGGGAAGAATGCCACATGAAGACGGAGGCAGAGATTGGAGTCGCACATCTACAAGCCAAGGGACATCAAGGATTGCTGGCGACCATCAAAAGCGAGGTAAGAAGCGTGGAACAGATTGTCCCTCAGAGTCCTAAGTAGGAGCCAGTTCTGCCAACACCTTGATTTTGGACGTCCAGCTTCCAGACAGTGCGAGAATGAATTCCTGTACTTTAAGCCACCCTGTTGGTGGTAATTTGCTATGGCAGCTCTAGGAAACTAATACTCTGGCAGAAAAATCTTCAGTAATATGCCTGAAAAAAATCATTCTTCAATTAACACAAAATTGGTTTCAAAATGTTGTAGTATAAAAATATATTAACTATTTTCTGTAATTAGGCTATTTACCACGATCTTGACTACTTCTAAGTCTTTGTTGTAGGATGAATAATAAAATATATAAATGCGTTTTAAATGGTTAACTCTGGAGAATGGTTTTGGGAAATTAAAAAAATACATATAGAAGATAAAAATTGATTACTAAAATGAATGCATTGCTTTTCTAATAAAACATAAAGAATCTAAAACAAGCAGTAGCTTACATTTCTGAATCTCTGTATCAACTACCTTCTACTGATCATTTTAACATAGCGTTGATGCCATTGTGTAGTACATCAGTTCTTAACAGGTTTCATTTCATCACTTATTAAAAGATTTAATAACTGCACACAATTTTTAGTTGATATCTCTATTTTGTATATTCATTTTGTTTTAAAAATTGTATATTAGTTACTATGTAATCCTCCTTTGAAGTTTCTAGGATTTCTTTTTCCTTTTTCTCCCCAAAGCCTCCCGGTACATAGTTGTATATTCTTTGTTGTGGCATGTGGGACGCTGCCTCAGCGTGGTTTGATGAGCAGTGCCATGTCCACGCCCAGGATTCGAACCAATGAAACACTGGGCCGCCTGCAGTGGAGCGCGTGAACTTAACCACTCGGCCACGGGGCCAGCCCCTCTAGGATTTTTTTTTAAGAGATATTGATCGTATCTATCTTTTCTATTTCGTGTAATATATGATATATGATTCGTGCTCAAATTCATTTATGTTGAACTATTTATTATGTTATGACCAATAGTTTAAAAGAATACAATGTGCCTAACTAGATTTTTGAAGTTACCTAATAGCTCTTAAAATTCACTTGCAAATATTTGAAAATCATATTTTCTTTAGTCTTTGTAGAGTATTATGTATCTTCGGAGATTCATAAAAGTCTTTTTTCTAGTTTTTGTTTTTAAATAAGAAGCAGAGATAATGATGAATCTATACCACAGACTTTAAAAAACAATTTTAATTTCATCTGAAATTGCATTCAAAAAGTATGAGATGAATTCAAAATGTACCTCAAGTACAAAATTTGTATCAACACTTTCATTTGGTTAAAAAAAAGTTGTGTACATGTATTCATTCAATAAGCATTTATGAAAGGCTGACTATTTAGGAAGAAATGAAAAATACCTCTCTCATGTCTCTCCTAGTTTTTATACTCCTTCCCTTTGCCTTTCTCTGTTCACATTGGTATGTGAATTTCTTATGCCAACTGAGGTGACAGGGATTTATGTTTCAGCTTTAGTCTGGAAGAAAGAAATAGTGGCAATATTAGCATGTACTCTTGAAAACTAAGCCCTACATTTTAGAATCTTTGTAATGGATAAGAATTAACTAAAAATTGCTTCTGGTTAAAATTTGATAATATTTATTTTAATGTAGCTATTTTTCTATTGAGTTTTTGTGATTGTTGCAGTATCCTAATAGATATTTTTTGTGTAAGCAACATTCTGCAATAGAAAGGGATATGCATTAAAATGTAAATAGAATTTTATGAGGTGCTTGATAAATGTAAACTTAATGACAGAACTCCTGGTCAGAGATATATTTTTCTCAGAACCACAATGCCATATGTTCAATGTCGAATGAAGCGTGATTTGTAAAAATCAGCGTCATATTCTAAAGAGGCTGGGTTGTATAACAAGCGTTACTATTTTTATATTGTTTTCTCAAATTTCATCTGTTTATAGCTACTATTTCCAACTAATGTTTGGTAACACACAGCGTGATCTCCTTCAAATACTAAGAGAAAGTTTATAAATTATTTTTTTAAAGTCTGATTACAGTATACATTTTCAAAGACATTGAAAGCTCAATAGAATTAATTATTCAAAATGCAATGGTGATTGTTCACAATGGCTGTCATTTCAGTGGGCCTTAAAATTCTTCACAGACTTTGACAACCTCCCTCTTTTCTCACATAATCTACTGAAATTGTTAGATAACAAAGTAAAGAAATAAAATTTAATGCTCTGATATGCACAGTAGGACATGTCTCTTTGGTCATGTCACATCTCCTTAGGCAATTCTTTACCTTAAATACTGAACAAGTTTTCTCCCAGTAGCATATGCCCTATTAAACATATCATTGCCCAGACACTAAAATACAAAGCTGAAATCACACAAGAGGAACACTCTATTTCTGATTCTTGAGTAATAGTTTCTGTCCATTAAATTCCATCTTAATGCTTTGGCCAATAATACTTGCACAGGGTGAGTATTTGTATTGTTAAGCAATCAAATCGTATGATTCCACATTCTTTGACAAGGAAAAGTATTATTACCCAACTCTTATAGGTGCTAAATTAAGAAGAGGGCTGCATAGCATTGTAAATAACATCATTGGCTTTAGAGTCAGAAAAATGAGTTTGAATTCCAGGTCTGCATATATTAGCTGAATATATGAACTTAGGCATGTTCTTTAATCTCCTGAATCCTCCTTTATTTCACTTTAAAATGAGGATAGTATTGGTACTTTCTCATCAAGTTGCTGTGAATCAAATAGAAAATACTCAATAAATATTTATAATTACCAAAATATAACTCATATTTCTGGACGCCATCAATAAGGACATGTACGCTTCATTCCTGGTAGTTTTAAGTGCAGCTTCTGCATCACTAGCAGCAACTGATTTGGTTATAGTCAGTTTATTATTTGGGAATTTTATTCCTATTTATTATTTATTTAGCACCTCCAGTGTTTGCTATACCTTGACAAGGCATATAAAACACATAGTTATTGTCCTTGTATAGTTTCCATTTGTAGGAAAACAAATTGGGGGAAAAAAGAACGAGTTGCTCAAGTTATTTGACATTCATTCATTTAGGACAAAGTTTTTGTCCTCCTACACTTCCATATTAGTAAGTGGCTGACCTAAGTGGTTCTTATAGTAATATTCTCCAAAATACATTTTGAGAGGGAAAAGGAAATGAGAACCTTGTGATATATGAGATGGGAGATTGCTATAGGGGTATAAAAAAGTTTCCTATTCTGTACTCTAAAGTCACTGAGAAGAGACTAAAGGACCAATAAAATGTGAGTGTTGCAGACGTTAAAAGGAAAATAACTGGTGAAAGGTAAGTAGATTGTTCATGCTTAGAAGGAGCTGATGATCTTCTCTCTTATAGCACCACAGAGATAGATATTATCAGAACCAGATCCATGTAATTCCCACCTCCTTACCTTCACCTCAGCATTTCTAAATCCCCATTTTGTACTCCCGTTGTCTCAGCGGAAAGCTTATCCCTGCTTCTCGTCTTTCTATCTTCTCCAGGACTTACTTCAAGCAATTTTGCTTGCCCCCTCCAGTCTTTAATCCATTCTCCACTGGTATCTTTCCTCCAATCTACAAACATGCTCAAAAGTGTCCCATGCTAAGAGCAAACAATAATAACTAAAATCTCTACCTGACTCTGTTTCCCTTACCAAAATACTGCCCATTATTCTGCTTTTTTTTTTCATAACTTGATTTCTTAAAGAAAGTCTACAGTACCTCCACCTCCTCACCTATCTTTCATTTATCTGAATCCAGGACACTCTTTCTAAGAAATTGTTCTCTAAAGGATTAGTGGTGACCCCTTAATTACCAGATGCAATATCCTAGTCTCCCTCTTGACTTACTTGATTTCTGCAGCATTTGATAATGTTGATTTATCCTTCCATAAAAATCTGTTCTTCATTGCATTCTCCAAAATCACTCCTTCTGTAGCTTTATCTCTCTAACATTCCAATTCTTTCACTAGATCCTCTTCCTCTCTCTATCCCATCAAGTGAGACCTTGTCTCCTGTGATTTGTTCACAAGGTGGTAGTCCTAGGGATGTGCGTTCAGTGGAGGCAGTGCTGTGAAATCACTCCATGATCATCCATGGAGTAGATGAGAGATGGATAGTTTGCCAAGATTACAAACAGTGGAAGGAACAGAGATTGGAGTCTTCCTGGATGATAAAATTGGCATCAAATTCAATAAAGTATGTACTAACCAGGATTTTAGCTTTTGTAATGGCAGACAATAATTTAGACCAATCATTCCACTGAGAACAACAAGAAAACCTGGAGAAAA